CGCGAATAACTTAAGTTGTTCGTGGCCTATCGACAGTATACACAATTATACGTGGGCCGCTTCGCACATTGTTCAACTAGTCACGCGCGCGCACGCGATAACTAATATACGAGCGGACTTATACCTGGGTAAAAATCGCAACTAATTTTTCGTACATTCATATGCATTTGTCTTTGACTCGAATCACCGCGTTCCTATGGTTTGTGATTCATTAGTGTACGGCATATGTACTTTGATATTTAGGTATTTGAAGAAAGAAAATCTTCATCGGCAGTCATCGATATGAATATAATTGAAACATATAGCCACAAATAAACCATAAAAGTTAGGATAATGTAAGGAAACATGACTGCACCCAAACAAAAGCTTGTTCTTTCTTAAAAGAATTACTATGTATTTTGAGAAAGAATGAAGAAGCAGAAAACAATTACCTCCTTCATACTAATCGCTATCGTGCTCTTTTCCTGCATCCGCACTGTTACGGCGTTACAGAAAGAGATACAAGAATTTTACGCTGAATGCGTAAAGTTTAGGAGCATCCTAGAAATATATTCATTTTGCGCTGAGATGGAACGGTAGGCATACTTATTGTTAGTCTGTTGATACGAGAACGTCAGACGGCCCGGAAAATGCCAACAATGATGCCGCAGTACTGGGATTAATCGAAACTGCAACACAACGGCAGAATTACTGTAAATGAAAACTATGATATTAGTATTAAAGAGAATTTGGGAATGAAGCAAAACCGTAATATAACTTTTGTTTCTACTTCTAATAATTATAAAATTGGGACATTCTGGTGGTACTTTGTTAAGCTTTCCGGGAGAATTCTGAGCGGAAAAAAATCATTTGCCCATTATCCCTTAAAAAAATTTGAAGTGATAATTTCGATTTTGAACGGATATTCCTTACCAAATGTCACAACTAATAAATGATCTTAAGGAGCAATATGTTGAACCAGATCTAGAGGAAGAAAACCTGTTAGGTAAGCAGTACGGTGGCAAACACGAGAAATTTGGCGTACTCAATAATGGAGAGAAGATGCGAGCAGAGCAAAGTGGAAGTAAGTGAGATGTTTGTGGCGCATAGAAGGCGATCACACGCCAAGCAAATAAGAAGATTACAAAAAAAGGCACCTCTGTTTGGAGACGAAGCACATGTGCACGTCCATTGTGCACAAACAGAAATCTGCTTTCTTTGGAGTTGGTGTTTGGCGTGCGACTGCACCATGTGCA